CGACGCACACCTGCGCCTCCCTCCCGGCTCGCGCACCCCACCGCCGCAGACGCCCCAGCTCCTGCCCAGCGTGGCGAATCAGCCCCCTTATATGGGGCAGGAAGGACGGCGTGAATCTGTATTCTGTGAGGTGCCAGACTCGAGAAATTGACAGCAGAGGTGATGCTAAGACCGACACTCTCAGAGCGCCGGTTTCCTTGTCTTTGGAATGGGTGTAATGGGATCACCCTATTAGGGGTGTCGGGAGACTTAGATGACGAACACAGAGCGCTCAGCACAGACCCAGGGAAGAAAGGTTAGCTTCCGTGAAAGAACACCGCCATTGTTGTCATTATTAAAGAGGTTTCCAAGATGTACCTCCTTTCAGTCCAGAAGAGACCAGAATGTAAGTGGATCCGCCCCCACATGTAGCTGTGGGGAGAGTGGGGTTCATCCAGGAACTTGCCTGTGAATGGGCGCACCTGTCAGCCGAGAGCTCCAGGGCTGGGCAGGCACTGTGCTTTGTGGGAACAAGGTTTGCATCACCAAGATTGCAACTCAGGTCAATACTCACTGAACTCCTACTAGGAGGCAGGTTATTTCACTAGGAATACCGAAGTAAAACAGGCCAAAAGGCCCACCCTGTGAAAATGAGGAAGGTTGCAACAAAATAAATAAACAGATAATACAGTATGTTGGAAGTTTCTGGAGAGAAAATTAAGCAGGCATAGGCAACAAGGAGGGTCTAGACTAGATGGGGTTTGTATTTTGAAGTAGGGTATTTGATAGAGGCCCCATAGGTGACATTTGAGCAAAGAAGAAAAGAAGTAGAGTATGGAGATTTCTGGGGAAGGAAAATTCCAGGCAAAGGATACAGCAAATGCAAAGGTCCTGGAATGGGAATGTGCCCATAAGTGTGACAAACGGCGAGGAGGCCTGAGGCGCTGGAGTGACTTGAGCAAGGTGCACGAGTCATGGGCCAAGATTCATGTTAAGGACTTACATCTCTCCCCACTGGCCCCCTGCTACATAGCCCCGCATTCAGAGGGAGAGCTCCTTGCAGTGGTGGATCCTGTCCCCAATTTCTATTTGTTAGGATTAGGAATCTTTGGTCATAAACAAGATCTTTGATCTTGGCCAACTTAGGCCACGTTAGGCTAAGGCAATAAACTAGAAGAGTAATGGGCATCCCCAGAATACATGGAGCCTGGAGAACTGGGAAAATGGGGTGAACCCACAGTAACTCCTTAAGACTGGAAGGGGAGACTCTTGAGGATAGCAGCCTGCAAAGAGTGTGTTCAGGATACCACCACCACTCAGGTGAAAGGAGTTTCCTCGGTTTGAGGTTCCTGATCCAGGGAGGGGACATTCTGATATACCCCACCTGTACACACACCTGCCCTTGTTGAGGGAAGAAATTTTCCAGTCGTAGCCCATTACCCTTCTAGTTTATTGCCTTAACCTAACTTGGCTGAAGTTGGTTTCTCTTTGGAAATACCCAGCAAGTTTCTCAGAGAATGCAAAATGGTTAGTAGCAATATTTTATACACACACACATATTTATACAGGACTTTCATATGCCAGACAGAGTGCTCAGGAAGTTGGGCTTTGCTTGCATCATCGTATTGACCTCCCCTCCACTGCCCTAGACTACAGAGGGCTTTGTCTAAGTTCACACAGCAATGACTGGGAAGTGAAAGTGCAGGGCCCAAGTCATGATCTGTGGTTACCCCCACCCCTTGGCTGTACCCCAAAGTTGTATTTTAGAAAAATAGAGTACCTAAGCCTCACTCTAGAAAACTATTCATTGAAAACCACATTTTTAATTCCTCTGCCAAACACTGAGCCCAAGAAGTTGCCTTGTGCTTTCTTAAAACCTGGAGCTTTTATTCCAAAATAAAGGATTGTGGTGTTTAGTTTAATAGCTACAGCAGTGGGGCATGAATAGAATCTGAACTCCTGTTTCTAGAGGAAACTTGGCTCCATGTTGTAGTTGCAACATTCGCCACCAGGGGCGCCATCACCTAAAATCTTGAAAGGGAATTCCCACAGCCTGAAAACTGCATCCCAAAGTCTTCCCCAGGATCTGAGAATTCCACCATCTGACCCATGCTACACAGGCTACCCCTTATATCCACACCACTGACCTGGGGTGCAGCAGCCAGCATCAGTAAGGTGCACTGTCCCATCTCCTGCACTGTCCCTTCACCGCTCTCCACTGAGATAAGTCAACATCATGCTCAGTGCTCAGCATAAATGAGAAAAGCTTATGTCATAAAATCCTGCCTATAATTTTATGGAGGCGCAAGTTGATGAAAGGATTTGATGCTTACACTAAGAGGCATGATGCATAACCTCACGATCCATACTATAATTGTAATGGTAATAGTAGCTATAATTTGTTGAGCACTTGATGTGTTTGGTACTGTGCCTTGAACTTCCCACAAACATTTAATTCACTAAGCAACTTCATGAAGTAGCTTCCTCCTGTTACCTGCCTTTTATATTCTAAGCTCAGAGAAGTTAAATTGCTTAACTGAAGACGTGTGGCTAGAAAGTGAAGAGCTGGATTCAACTCTCTTACCCAAGGCACTTTTTTTTTTTTTACTTTTGTTAAAGATTTATTTATTTATGCATACATAAATAAATACAGGTACAGAGGTATAGTCTAGAGGTGCAGGGGTGTTGAGAGGGCTCACCAGAGACAGAGTGGGGAGCAGAACAGGCCCACTGACAAAGTACAGTGGGAGCTGAGGGGAGCAGCGGGCAGGTCAGGAGAGGTCTGCTGTGCCATGTGGGTCACCTCCAGGGCGGGGATTGAACTTGCACTGAAGTGGCTGCTGCTGCCAGCTTGCAGTTTTGTGTCCTAACCTGTTGTGCCACCAGGGAGGGTCACCAAGGCACTCTTAACCAACGCAGCAGAGAGGTCTTAGATTGCATTGTGTTGTATGTCCTGGTGAGCGGTACCACCAGGACTGCTGTGGTAGTTAATTTCATGTGTCCATTGGATTGGGTCTTGGTGTCCAGTATTGTTCTGGGCATGTTCTGATGAGATTATTTAAACATTAATCGAATCCAGAAACAAAGTCAGTTGTCCTCCCTGTTGTGGATGGGCCTTATCCAATCAATTAATAACCTGAATAGAACAAAGAAGGCTGAGTAGGAGGACACTCTTTCTGCCTGGCTGGGTTGGGGCATCAGTTTCGTCCGTACATTGGACACAAACTGAAATCAGCTTTTCTTGCATTTCTGACCATGAACTTTCTTAGGTTTTCAGTTTGTTGACCACAGATCTTGAGACTCCTCGGTCTTCATGACTGCTGGTGACAGTTCTCAAATCTCTGTAACTGTTAATATAGGCATGTAAATATATATCGTGTTGCTTCTGTTTTGCTGGAGAGCTCCCACTAGTACAGTTTTCACATCAGTATTCACTCCCCTCCTCCTCTTCCTAATGAAACTGAAATTGTCCAGGTTTCTGTCCACAGTCCTGGTAAGAGGTACTCCCTCTCATTCTGGGCAGCTCCTGACTGGTTTAAGCCACCCACAGAACTCCAGTTGCATTTGTCAATGATTGATGTAGATGAGCTGTAACCAAGGGCTAAAGCCTAAGATTGTTTCAAGTGGCGCCCCCTGGAGGGGGATGCTGGTGAGGATGAATAGCCCCAGGCAAAATATGAAATATCAGCCAGGGTGGTGACTCTGATAAGAAATATAAAGGACTGCAAAAGCAGCCCCCACAAGTCAGCATTAGAGATTGCAGCATTTTCTGATCTTCAGGAATCTGGGGTCAGCCATTTCGTCCCCCACCATGACAGTCTTCCAGAAAGCTATTGTGGGACTCATGATATGAGGAGGCTTCTAACGGCCAACCTCAGAGAGGAAGGTTTTGAAGACTTTGTGGGTAGCTCAGCGACTGAGACTGTTACCCCTTTGCAGCCTGGAAGGGAAGGCCAAGACCTGGGCCAGGCTGCTTGCTGAGCTGTGAATGTGGCCATTTAGCAGGTTGGTCAGTGGCTGTGGCTGCTGTTTTAAGTATCATTTATCTGTGCTGGAGCATCTCCTGTTATATCTTCTGCTGTTAGTTGGATCCCGGCCTATATTCTGGCTTCCACATGCTCCAGACCGTCACTTTCAGGAAGACGCCATCTTAGGAATGTTTGCGTTTAGGACTTTAAAACACTGGACACTGCTTCGGGTGAAGAAAATGGCCTTTGTGGGCTCAGTATGCTTTTCTTCAAAAAGGCCTGCTCTCATCCCACATAGATGCAGCGGCACAGCGGGTTAAAGCATAGCCTGAGAAGCTAAAACTACTTGGGCAAGAGTTTGATCCCCGCCTGCCCGGGAGGTGACCCACATGGCCTGGCAGACCTCTCCTGACCTGCCCACTGCTCCCCTCAGCAGTGTACTTCATTGATCTGCCTCTTCTGCTCTTAACCTTGTGTCTGGTGAATGCTCTTACCGCCCCTGAATTTCTGGCATGTACCCCAGCTCTGTATACATAAATAAATACATTTAATAAAAATAAAAGTGATTGGACATGAAAACTGGGGTAAAAGATTTAAAAATCACCTCTCAGGGCCCTCCCTGGTGGCGCAGCGGGTTAAAGCACTGCACTGAGAAGCTAAAGCCACTTCCTCATGAGTTCGAGTCCTGCCTGCCCCGGAGGTGACCACATGGCCTGGCAGACCTCTCCTGACCCGCCCGCTGCTCCCCTCAGCAGTGTACTTCGTCGATCTGTTCTGCTCCTCACTCAGTCTCTGGTGAAGCCTCTCACCGCCCCTGAGCCTCTGGCTTGTACCCCAGTTCTGTATGTACAAATAAAATAAATCTTTAAAAAATAAAATAAATAATAAATAAATAAAATAAAAATCACTTCTGAGATGAGCAAAACACACTAATATTAGAGATACCTGTAAAGAATTTGAGTAAAAGCAATTGTTAACAATTCTGCTTATATGTCACTCACATGATAATTATGTAAATATTTAATCACATCTAAATTAATGAATAGCACTGGTACATGTTTGATTTCCCTAAAAATTTCTATCATTAAGACAAACCCCCAAGTTTTATCTTCTCACTGGAAAATATTTATTTCATGCACCATTGGAAAGTTGACAGTGTTGGATTCATCTAGCCTTTAAAAAAATCTGGAATCTCTTATATTCTTTAATAATCTATTTTTTATTCAATACATTTAAAACGTAGTACTATGTCTATATTTATATCCATCTATATCCTCAAAACTGACTGAAAATGCTAACTATAGCAAAGGAACATTCCATCAAATGTTTTTAGGAAAAGCAGGCTCTTTGTTCCTCTCACTGCTGATGGCTTCTCTGCCTATCCTTGTCCCAGCCTTTAAAACTTTCTCTTCCAAATGTCTTTGTGCCACTCTGTCACTTCCCTTCTCCACTAGATGCTGCTCTACGCCCACCTAAGACGATTGACATGACTGATTCCTAGGGTTTCAGTGCACACAGGACAGAGAGGTGACCTGGTCAGCTGTCCTCGTTTTCAGGAGGTGATTGGGAATGGGAGCAATTTCTAGGGTCTTTGAGATTACAATGACAGTATTAACTTCAGATGCTAGAACTCGGGAGGAACCAGCATGTACTTTTCATGACCTGACTCTGTAATTTCCCATCCTGCACATGAAGTAATTGAGACTCAGAGGAAGGATGTGTTCTGCCCAGAGCCACCCATCCGTACTGTGTCTGACAACAGAGGTTGCATAGCTTGTGTCAGTATTCAAAGGACATCTCAAAATGCCTGATTTCTGCCTACTGGCAGCCGTTTTCAAAATGAAATCTGAGTATCCCCCTGTCTGGGGAACAGGAATATGGGAAGTGAGGTAACCACTTTTCCAAATAGCCCTGTGCTGGTATCCCCTGCACTTCTGCAGGGTACCCAGGAGGCCTGAGCAGTAAGGGAGACCTGATGGCACTCCTTCTAGCCTAGGGATATAAATTGCTGCAGTCTTCATCTGGTTGCTCTCAGCCAGGGCTCAAGCTCTGAATTGGGAATTAAAGGATGTGGGGGCCCAGAAATCTGACCAAGATTACGGGATAATTGTGACACAGGTTTGAGTAGGAGATTATGGGGTTCGTTCATGTTACCCCCATTCCTTGCTGTAGGATGTTGCCTGGCAGCTGCAGGGTGCCAAATGGTAATGCTGACCTTCAGCCCAGGGCAGGTCACGGTTCCATCTGACCCATAACCATAATGGATGCAAATCTCTACAACTTGGAGAAATGAAACCAATGTCTCAATTCAACAAACCTCCAATTAGTAGGATAACAAATTTTGTTATATTCTAGAACTCAGTGTAATGATTTCAAAATTTATCTGGAAGAATAGCCAGGAATTTTTGCGTGCTTTGTGGACTTCAACTTTTCTGGATATTAGAATCACTTCAAGATTATAGCAAGTAAAAAGGTGTGTCACAGGTGTGCCATGGATGATGCAGAATGAGTTTAAATTTAGAGCTGAGGCTGCATCCAGGTTTCTGTGGGACAATAGTGGAATTTCCAAAAATTGTTCAAGGAAAAAGTGTCATATGGCTCTGTTCATTGAAATCAGCACTCAGTGCATACATTGAAGAGGTAAATGCAAAACTACACAACTATAAAACATTACTAGTTTGTTGATTAAAAGTTAAGTTGCAAAGTCAATGACAGAAACCTGAAACCAACCAAGGAAAAGACTATAACAAATAACATTTAAAAAAAATAATCCCCCTTGTAACAACTTAAAAACTTACAAATCACTGTGAATCCACAGTGGCACAGGGGTTGTGCCAAGTTGGCAATCATGGTTGAGCCTGGAAGTGAGCCCAAGGTTGGTGCCAGCGGCTGTAATTTAGTTATATTGGCAACAGCAGGCATTTGGTTAAAAGTATTAAGCGGTAGAGACTCAATTTCTGGATTTCCAAATGCATCTTGTTTCCGAAGGTCACTTGGCAGGTTGATCCTGGGATGATAAATGGGTGAGACAAACGGGTGGGCAAGAGACCAGGCAGAACACCCCTGCTTTCATCCCACGAAGACTGGGGACTTCTCTGAGCGCCAGGTGTGGCTCAAGTTTGCCTCATTGGGGCCAGGGTGGAGGCGTTGCCGGAAGAGGCCTGGCCAGCAGGGATGAAATTGAAATCCGGGTGGGTGCAGAGCCCATCACTGCCCTGCTCGCTGTGCAGCCCCTCCCGTGAGGTCAGGCTGGCCTGACCTCCAGCCCTCACCCTTGCCTGACTACTACAGGCTGTGCCCCAGGGCGGAGCATGGCCCTAGCACTCTCCTCTTGGAAAGGAGCTTTGTGTCTCTAGCCCCTGGGAGATCAGCACTCGGATACCTGGGGCTTGTGGAAAGGAACCTGAGGTGACAGAGCAAGGAAACTGTGCATCACATGCAGATCAGCCAAACTGCAGAGGAGGAAGGTGAGTCCTTGGAGTGGGGTCCTGAATGTCAGGCCCAGTGGGGCGGAAGGCCAGTTCCTTTCGCAGTAGCTCATGTGTGAGTGGCTGGAGATTCCAGGGGCCTCCTGGGGTCTGCACTGTGTTGTGGGGATACCTGATTGCTGAGCAGCTCCCAGCACCCAAACCTGAGTCATATAAGGCAGCACTGTCACCCACAGTGTCTTGTGAAGTCAGGGACACTAACACCATCACCATTTCTCTTCAATGTTTAGGAATATTTGAGGGGTCCTTTGCCTTTTACCACAGGGGACTTCTTTCACAACTTAGGGTAGTTTCTTGGTGTGATTGGTGTGTACTTAGTAACTGCATGCTTTGAAGTTATAGTTAAGAGAGAGTTATAAGGCAGCTATACAGAGACATTAAATATAATTGTGTTCCTCACGGGTCTCTCTCCTCCAGGGCCATTATCTTCAGCACAGCAATGACTGGCCGGGCCAGGACTAGAGCCAGAGGCAGAGGACGTCGACCAGTAACCTCCCAACCTGCTGCCCCTGGAGCTCCAGCAACAACCCCCCAACCTGCTGCGCCTGGAGTCTCAGCAGCAACCACCCAACCTGCTGCACTTGGAGCCTGGGAAACAACCCCCCAACCTGTTGTGCCTGGAGCTTGGGGGGCCCGCCCCCAACCTGCTGCACCTGGAGTCTGGGTAGCAACCCCCCAACTTGTTGCACCTGGAGCCTGGGGAATCAGCCCCCAACCTGCTGCACCTGGAGCCTGGGGGATCAGCCCCCAACCTGCTGCACCTGGAGCCTGGGGGATCAGCCCCCAACCTGCTGCACC